AAGCCATTCTAAAGCAGCCAGGGGGGGGATTCTGCATGAGCCAAAAAGCAGAGACAGGAGCAATTGTCAAAATGTTGGTGTCGATCATTCGATTTCATCCTGGACACTACAGAAAATGGGCTAAAAGTGTTAAAAACCGGAATTCTCCTTTAAATAAATTGCATTTATTCGTGGATTATCTAGATTTTTTCTATTTTTTTTCAGTGTGTTTGTCATCTGTACTATTCATAGAAAAACGGTTTTGTTTTTTAGTTCCTGTTTTTGTGTGCGTGTCCTGTAGGTGCAGGCAGCCAGCGTGTTGTTTGTCGACAACCCGGTGGGAACCGGCTTCAGCTACGCCGAGCGGCCCGACGGCTTCGCCACCAACGTTTCCACGGTCGCCTCAGACATGCTGGTGCTGCTCCAAAAATTCTTCGCTCAGATCCCAGAGCTCCAGGTTAGCCAGCCTGCAGTCGCTCTGCTTCACTCAGACCTCTGCTGATGCTGACAGATCAGGTTCTGCACTGCAGACAATGTTCATCTCAATAAGTTACCTTTTCCTAAAATAAGTGCATTTTTTCTTGAATTGAAGAGGTAAGTGAGACACTTTGCTACTGAACAAGACAATTTATATTTAAAATAAAAAAAAGCAATTATATTGTTTTATTTCAAGTGCATATTATCTAATTATCTTAATTTAAGAGTAAAAATGTTAATTCCATTGGCAGATAATCTTATTAACCTGATCAAATTAAGCGTAAATGCACTTAATTTAGGAAACGTTTTTTTCATATCTGGATTGTTTTTGCAGTGTGTGCAGTTTGAATCCTTTTTGTGCCACGTTAAAGTAACTTTGACTTTGCCGTGCGGATCCAGCTGTGCCTTTTAAATCGTTTTCTGAACCTTTCAGAGTAATCCCTTCTACATCTTCTCTGAATCCTATGGTGGAAAAATGGCAGCTGCCATCTCCCTGGAGCTGAACAAGGTGAGCATGCTGCAGGTTTACAGCTTTACAGCAGGTTACCTGAGTTGTTGATGAACATGGAGGTCAGGTTTCTGGGTTTTAGTCTTCAGGATGCTTCAGCATACTAAGCAGCCCAGCTGGACTTTAAGGAAGGATTTTCAGTAATATGACTTGTTGGTCTGTATTGGAGTTTAATCTGCATCTCTGTGTGCTTATAGGCCATCGCCCAAGGCTCGGTGAAGTGTAACTTTGCAGGTGTGGCACTTGGAGACTCGTGGATTTCCCCGCTGGGTCAGTATCAGTCATTCATTTAACCTTTGCTCCCAGCAGACCAGAGAAATGCTGCACAGTCAGATTTTGGGCCTTTAAACCAGGAGTGTCAGCATAAATACAGACTTTATTTAACTTCCTGCATTTGAACAAAAATATCTTTACTTTCTACTCCTTTCTTTCTCCAAACTGGATTATTACTTCTATATTCTGATAAAGACATGATATAACAGCTGCAGGAAAATAAAGAAGTAAATCAGTTTAGTTGGATTTAATATTTACTTTTTGATTATGTTTCTATTTTAATTTTAATGTATCTGGCTTTAATGCTGAGAAAAGTATTCAGGGCTGCTTTTCTGTTTAATCTATATCTTCGTGTCTGAGATTTAAATTTGGAACAAAAAAATGGACCAATCGGTTTGTTTTATGTTCTCTTCTACCAACACGGCAAAAAAAGAGGACATTTTATGCTTTTTTTTCTGCATTGAGATGTTTTATAAGATTTGGGTTTTATAAGATTATTTTGTATCATTTACGCAAAAAAAAAAACTCATTTAACTTTTTTGTACTAAAGTACAATGTGTAGAACCTCTACTTTTTATGTTAGCAGTGGAGTTCAATCTGTATTTCTACTTTAACCAGAGTCTTTTTTTTAACCCTGGTATCTGAACTTTGACTTCAGTAAACGGTACCAGTGCTTTTGTTCAGAGTACCTTGGGGGCCCAGCAGGGGGCCCAGCAACCTTCTTTACTCTAAAGAGAAACTGGCTAAGATTTATCCTTAACTAGACTCAATAGATGTAAACAGGAAGCTGCCAGCCTCTATCATTTGTTGTGGGCCAAACCGAAACTCACCCATTTCTGGAAATCTATATTTGATGCTCTAGCCACTATCCTGCAATCTTTGGCGTGCCACTCAGACAAATGTGGGGGGCATTCACTACCTTACCAACAAGGAGGTTAATACTGTTCAAATGATGGAGGCCTCCACTCCTACTTCTGCTCATTGAAGAGGTTAAGCCCGGCATGCACTCTGCGATTTTTCGGGGCGATTTTTCCAGTCATGCGACAATCTTTCGATTGGGCCGACTCTCAACCTGATTGTGAGTCGTTTGGTGTACAGGGGGTTACGAGCGGCGATCAGCCTCCCACCACCGCCTCCTGATCAGGAATCGTGAGGTCGAGAGAATATCAAACATGTCTGATTTTCTCCCAACCGTCGTGGGCAAATCGCTCAGGGCGCAAAGAAGGATTCTTCTTTTTATTCCTCCTCTCAGATGTAAACACAGCAGCATGGCAGGGATGCAATGAGTGACATGCAGCTCTGTCTACTCAGCCATGTCCTTTTTCCAAATACATTGTCGCCTTTTCTTTCTAGGACCCTCAGCACAAAATTGCATAAATTGCCATGGCAGCGTGGTTCACTATAGTGAGCTTATTATCCCTCTTCTATTTGTTTGACTTCCTGATAGACGAGTCAGAGCAGCTCCATCTCACTGCGGAGCTGAGTCCGACGTGGTTTTTAGCCGCACAGTGTGAGCAGGTAGATCGCATCAGAGCGTCGGGCCGAACATAAATCGTGAACTGCTGCTCACGCTGTACGACTAAACCCTGCGTTTAGTCGTACAGTGTGAGCAGCAGCTGGGTGCTGAAATAAATCGCAGTGTATGCTGGGCTTTATGCAGTCATTAAAAATAGAAAAGATTAGATACACTGTGACAGGACCTATATTAGATTACTTGTTGAAATTCATTAAACTTTAACCTTAACCCCCCCTTTTTCTATTTATCTTATTTTATTTATTTATTTATATATATATTTTTTATTTTATTTTACTCTATTTTTACTTTGGGTTATACCCACCTCCTAAATTACTGCAGACGGGGATACGGGGGATGATGATAATTATACTACTTATTCCAGAATTTGTATTGCACATTTAGATACTGTTAATAAAATAAAACTTGTTTAAACTTCAGTGACTCAAAGCATTTGATGAACTCAGATGTCGGAGCTGCAGCCATTTAACCTTTAATGATGATGCTGGTGAAGATTCTCAGTCATCCAGGTCAAAGTCATTCCAAAAAAGTAAAACAAACAATCCACTGGACTTTGTTTCGAACTTTGAAGACATTTCTCTTCCATCCAGGAAGCTTTTTCAATTCAAAATGTCAGAAACAGAGTTGAGTTCCAGGTTTTATCCAGCAGCCCAAAGAACTTTAGTTTTTGTTTAGAAAACATACAAATAGAAACGGACGAACGGATCCTCCCCTTTGGGATGGGGGCGGAGTTCTTTGGGTTCTTTGTTAGCCTGCAATGTCCGATACTGGTCTATGGCTCTGAAAGAGGGGTAGTAATGATGGTGAAACATTAAAGCACAGGGGAACCTCACACCACTGCAGCCTTGTTGAAATTATGAGAAACGTTCAAAATCAATCAGCCAAAGATTAGAATTAGCCAACAAAAGATGAATCTATTTTTTGGGATCAGAACCACTACCTAAAGGAACAAGCAGCGTTTTTAGTTTTGTCAAAT